CAAGAGGACTTGAAAGATTCATGATTAAACTCGGTTTTCCTTTATGAGTCATAGGTGCCGGCTAGAATTTTGAGCATGTTAAAAAAGTTCATGAGACACATTTTCTCCTGAAAAAGTCACACAATTGTTGCAACATTCTTATTTACACAATTTAGCTTCTGCATGTCAAAAAGTGTAAAAATCGTGAGAAACTGTGAGAAAATATGCACGACGATAGCAGTTTATTTGCAATGATGCCTAATGACATGCCAAAAGGCATGTATGTCCCAACTCAATGTGATTTCAACTGAAAGACCTTTATTTTTCTTGCAATTTTGCTTCCCCAACTAGTTATTTAAATGAAGTAACTTCAGCCCATCATGCAAGAATAGACATCAGTGAGTATGTGTGTTTCTAGGTTTGATGTTCATGTTAGATGCTAAGTTCATTTCATACTTAGATACGTTTATTTTGTATGAATCATAATTTTAAAACCCTTTTGATTGTATATTGTGTTTATCAGATGTGAAGGTGAAGGACGGGTGCGTTAAAAACATCTCATAGATAGATCTGGGTGACATTTTGAGTTCATCATCAGCCTGGTCTTCTATGGATTACTCTGTCCAGGTGGGACCGTCCTCTGCCTCTGAAAAGGTTGAGCGCTGCTGATCTACTGATCAATGGAAGCAATCAGACTCATTGAAATTGATTTACAGCTGGACACAGCTTGTAGTTTCAGGCACAGCAAATGAGTTTAAATTGGAGGGCTCAGGCAGCGAGCCAGGCTGCAGCGCTGCTAAACACAAAGCAGTCCTCCCCTCCTTGTTTCTGATTTCACTGCGAGGTGAGTGGCGCACTCGGAATCAGCACCGACATATTTGTTTGTTCGGATGCAAACAATTACAGATTTAATCCTCCTGCTGGGAAACCTCATCAGGTTCTCAGGTGTTTTCCTAGACAGATGGAGTGGAGGGTTGCATATTATAAATAATGATCTGTTGTCAGTTTGAGCGGATATGGTGACAGTGACATGATGAACTGGTCTGATAATGTTTGTCAGAAGGAAAAGGATGGAAAAAGGGGAGAATAGGGAATAATTCACCAGTTAGTTAGAACTGAGGAAAGAATAAGAGGCAAGAGGTCCGACCAGGCTGGAGAGAAGGGAAGGGGAAAGTCGTTAAAGGGAGTGAGAGTCACTGGAAAAGTAAAATGGGACACCTGAGAGAGGAAGGTCGAACACAAGAGTCTTAAAGGAATGAATCAAACAGAATGAACAAGAAAGGCAGGGCAGTAGAGGGAGGAAGAATTGGAAAGGCAGGAGATGAATTGAATGGAGACTTGGGGAGATGGGGGAGCCGGAAGAAAAAAAGAAAAGATGGGAAGGACAAAAGATGAGAGAGGACAGGAAGGAATACTAGATAAATGAGGGGGCTTCCAGATGAATGCATGAGAGAAGGCAAGAATTCATGAAGTTTCCACCTTCAGTTGTTTTATCCCACTCTGGGATTCCAGGAATACTTGGATAGAAAACAAAGGGCTAATACGTTTAGGGCAGGTGAGAATAACAATAATAATAAAAATAAGGACTTTATTGAAAAAGGAAAGTAACAAGTGGAAGTCAGCAGCAGGACTGATGAATGGAGGCTCCATGGTTAGACATGTGTAGTGAGAAAATTACTTTAAACTCTTCTAAAACCTCAGATTTTAATATATAAACACGTTTAACGAGTTTCATTCAGACAAATGTAGTTCTCATGTCATCATTAAGTCATGACTGTAGCAATGTTTTAACATTTCTGCTCAAATGGGACAGGATGAATTAAAAAACAGACACTTAGATTAGAAAATGCCTTAGATCTTAGATTATACGTATAAACGTTTGGTTTTGAAAACCTGCAAGGTTTCCTACAACCAGGTCAAAACGGATTGTAATCCAACTCCTAAACACTTGCTGATTTGACTGAGAAAAGCTTTGTTTTGTGGCTTTTAGGAAGAGTTTTTTTCCCATCCTGCTTTATTATCATTTGTTTCAGCATTCATAAAAATTCTTGTGACATTTTAACAAAACTGGAATAAGAGATGAACTGGGGGCATCAGCGGGCTGCATTACCCTGGACGTTTCACCCGTTTCAGGTGTGGAATATTCTGTCAGACACTGTTCACGTGAAAGTTAGAAAAAATAAAAAGAAGCCAATTCAGTCAGATGGTCTGAGCTTTCAACAGCGTTGGCTGAATTTGCACCTCTGCCAGCTCTTGTGAGTGTTCAACAGCGGTGCAACGAGCACTGTGAAGTTGTGTCATCATTCATGAATGAGATCATTGTTATTTTTGGGATTATATTGAGTCTGATTTTTGAGAGCGGAGGAGATGCTTAATGGTTCAAATATTTCACGTTGGCTTTTTCTACTTTTATATTTTACTATTTGTAAGGAATAATTACCCCCTGAGGAACACAAAGCCCTTTCCTTCAGCCGCTGCTGCTGTGTGACAGTAACAGTCTTTAGTAGCACACATCCTGCTGTTGGTCTTCATTCACACCAATTGGGTTAAATGCATCACTAAGTGCCCCTTCATTTGAGCTTTAAAGGAGGAAATGAAGCCTTTCTCTTCCTTGCAATAAGTTACCAGATTACACTACCAGCACCATCTATAGTGGGGACGGTGTGCTGCTGACCTCTACTCAGGACATTGTAGATTGGTGGGCAGAATACTTCGAAGACCTCCTCAATCCCACAGACACGTCTTCCAGTGAGGAAGCAGAGTCTGGGGACTTTGGGTTGGCCTCTCAAATCTCTGGTGCTGAGGTCACTGAGGTGGTTAAAAAGCTCCTCTGTGGCAAGGCTCCGGGGGTGGATGAGATCTGCCCGGAGTTCCTTAAGGCTCTGGATGTTGTGAGGCTGTGTTGGCTGACACGGCTCTGCAATATTGCGTGGACATCGGGGGCAGTCCCACTGGACTGGCAGACTGGGGTGGTGGTCTCCTTATTTAAAAAGGGGGACCGCAGGGTGTGTTCCAACTACAGGGGGATCACACGCCTGAGCCTTCCTGGTAAGGTCTATTCAGGGGTTCTGGAGAGGAGGGTCCGTCAGATTGTTGAACCTCAGATTCAGGAGGAGCAATGTGGTTTTCGTCCTGGCCATGGAACATTAGACCAGCTCTATACCCTTAGGGGGATCCTGGAGGGTGCGTGGGAATTTGCCCAATAAGTCTACATGTGTTTTGTGGATTTGGAGAAGGCGTTTGACCACGTCCCTTGGGGGGGCCCTGTGGGGGGCACTCTGGGAGTATGGGGTACCAGGCCCTCTGATATGGGCTGTTAGGTCCCTGTATGACCAGTATCAGAGCTTGGTCCACACTGCCGGCAGTAAGTCAGGCTCATTCCTAGTTAGGGTTGGACTCCCCCAAGGCTGCCCTTTGTCACGATTCTGTTCATAACCTTTATGGACAGGATTAGGTGCAGCCAAGGTGTGGAGGGCATCCGTTTTGGCGGCCTGAGGATCAGGTCTCTGCTTTTTGCAGATGATGTGGTCCTGTTGGCTTCATCAGAACGTGATCTTCAGCTTTCGCTGGAGCGGTTCGCAGCCGAGTGTGATGCAGCTGGGATGAGCATCAGCTCCTCTAAATCTGAGACCATGGTCTTGATTCGGAAAAGGGTAGAATGCCTTCTCTGGGTCAGGGATGAGGTCCTGCCCCAAGTGGAGGAGTTTAAGTATCTCGGGGTCTTGTTCACGAGTGAGGAAAAACTGGAGCGTAAGATCGATAGGCGGATTGGTGCTGCATCTGCAGTGATGCAGGCGTTGTACCGTTCTGTCGTGGTGAAGAGAGAGCTGAGTCAGAAGGCGAAGCTCTCGATTTACCGGTCGATCTACGTTCCTACCCTCACCTATGGTCATTAGCTTTGGGTAGTGAACGAAAGAACGAGATCACGGATATAAGCGGCCGAAATGAGTTTTCTCCAAAGAGTGGCTGGGCTCTCCCTTAGAGATAGGGTGAGAAGCTCGGTCATTCGGGAGGGGCTCGGAGTAGACCCGCTGCTCCTCCACATTGAGAGGAGCCAGTTGAGGTGGCTCGGGCATCTGGTCAGGATGCCTCCTGGACACCTTCCTGGTGAGGTTTTCCGGGCACGTCCAACCGGGAGGAGACCTAAAGGTAGACCCAGGACACGTTGGAGGGACTATGTCTCTCACCTGGCCAGGAAACGCCTTGGGATTCCCCCGGAGGAGCTGGCCCAAGTGGCTGGGGAGATGTAATTCTGGGCCTCTTGCCTTAGGCTACTGCCCCGCGACCCGACTCCGGATAAGCAGATGTAAATGGATAGATGGCTGGATCCTCGCTAAGTGCTGATATTCTGCTTCAAGTGCAGAAGCATGCTGCAGAGGTAGAGATAACAATTAAGAGTTGTTTTAATTTGACATGCATGCTAATATACATGTTTTCATTCATAACTTAAATAAGATTATATCAGATCCACAAATTACTTAAAATAAAAGCTGCAGCAGAAGTTTGGACTGAGGAATGTTTGTTTTTGATGAGAGCACAGCAGCGTGTCACACAGCACTGAGTCATCTCACCTGCAGCACTCAGATGGCTGGAGATTGTTTGTAGTATAGTACACATCTCCTCCAGTCTCTCAGAGAGACAGAGACCATACAGGGTTGGAGGAAAGTTAAAAAGCTTTGAATCCTAAAGGAAGAATGCTCTTTTGTCCTGCTGTTTTGCTTCAAGCACCAAGATACGGTTCACATAAACTTTCTTATCAGTAAAACAGGTTCATAGAAGAACTTTTTATGTTTATAAACGAGGCAGATAATATTTTATATAAATATGAAAAAAAGGGTTATTTTAGAATTTTTTTTGTTATAGTAGCAATACAGTTTATCTACGTTTTAATCATTATTTTCTGTAATTTCACCAAGGAATAAAGTTGGGGTGAAAAGCAGAATCCTTATAATAGTTTAGTGACTGAAGAGAGTCAAAATCATGGGTTATTTCAGCTCACTCTGCTCACGTTCCTCCAGTACCTGCTTTCCTGAGTTTCCTGTTTCTGAACACAGACACGATGACCAGCAGGTTACCGATAACATCCACCACGATGGTCGTAATCAGGACGCCGGCTAGCACGGTGGCCACCCAGGGGAAGGAGTAGTGCTGCTGACCCGGAGCCCCCTCCTCCCCTGTCGGCGTGGAGTTGCGGGGCTCCAGAGTCCCTTCCACTAAGGTGGGCTCATGGTCCTCCAGGGACATCAGTTGCGGAAGGTGCCTCGGGTCGGCGAGTCGCATCGGGTCGTAGCCACGTATAGTGGGTCCATTCAGCATGACGCATGGAGGTCAGAACCGGAGCTTCCTAAAGCTGTGCGCATGGCTACGCGTAACGGAGGCAGTTACGCGTCCAAGTCTCCAAAGAAAGCATAGCAGAGCATTTTAGTGACGGGTTAGTTTGTTAGAACTCAGTGAAGGCAGGAAAAACTTCGATCTTTTTAAATGGAAATATCTGTAAAAAATCTATAGTGACACTAAAAAAGTGTCGGCCACATCAGCTCATGTCACGCGCTTCATGTTGCGAAGCAGAGGTTTCCACTATGATGTTTCATTCACAAAACCGCTCCGGTGTTGCCGCTCTGCTTCATTCAGCTTCACGAGTCCGTTCAGCTCAGTTTCCGGTCATTCAGAAACAAACGTGTCCATCTCCGAGCGTCTGAGTTAGTGTGGAGACCCTTTACGCGCCTTTAAGCTCCAACAAGATCTGCGCTTTCTCTCTCCTTCTTCCCTCCGCTCTGCGTGCTTACGCTTGTGAGAGCGCACATTCAATATGATCCTCCCAGGGAGCTCTCCCACGTGTTTGTTCTGAACTCTCTCTCTCTCTCTCTCTCTCTCTCTCTCTCTCTCTCTCTCTCTCTCTCTCTCTCTCTCTCTCTCTCTCTCTCTCTCTCTCTCACTCACTCACTCACTCACTCACTCACTCACTCACTCACTCACACACACACACACACACACACACACACACACACACACACACACACACACACACACACACACACACACACACACACACACACACACACACGCACGTTCAAAATGTATTTTCAAATGTTAATATTATTATTATTGGCCTATCAGAAGATCCACAAACCAGAATAAAGCTAAATGCAGATTTAATCATTTCCCCCACACTTTAAGAATGAAGGACATAAAATTATATTTCAGAGTTGAGCATTTTCATCCAAGAGAACATTTATGAAAGAAACAGATGTGACGGGTGGATGAAGGGATATATGTGTATTTATGGATCAGAGCTAGTCGGATCCAGATTTTCCTGTTTTAAGTTACTTGTCTGCTTAACAGGGCCGTGCAGAGACCTTTGACGGGGCGGGTGCTCAAAGTAAAAAAAGGGGGCACTTATAGAGCAATCCAATAAGTTAGAAAATTCAGATAATGAGACCCTTGGGTTCAAACAACATAATAAAAATATATAAATTAGTGTCATTAGTGTTAATGTTAGTTCATGAATAATAGTTTTAGTTTTTAAAGCTGACATATCTAGAGATGTTACAACCACATTTTTGCCCCTGATCCGAGTCCAAGTTGTTTGATTTTTGATTATCTTCCAATACTGAGTCCTGTTCTGATACCAGGTGGTGATGCAACGCATTATAAAAGAAGAAATAAGTCATCCTTCTGTCTGTATTTGTCATTTTGTTATTTTAGCCTGAAAAGGTCACTCATTCAGGAAGTACATTTAACAGAAATCAAGATACTTTATTGCTATTGCACAGGTGTACAACCAAAGATATGTTGTGCTTACTAAAGACAGCTTTAGTAAGAGGTAGTAAAATAAATGTAAAATAAATGCAACCACAGAGACTTATCCAGTGTGATCTACAGCTATGTTAGCTGAGATCTTTTTCCTGTCAGTAGAAAATTCTTGATCCCATTCCATGATCTCACTGAACTTAACACTAAACATGAGAGCTCTGCTACCAACCTAACAACAACACCCTTTACACAAAGGCACCATCATCATATACGTGGCAGGAGTCTGAGAGAAACTTAGAAGAATCTTCTCCAAACACAACATCCCGGTAAACTTTAACCCAACAACACCCTCAGACAGAACCTGGTCCATCCAGAAGACAAAACACCCAAACAGAAGCTCAGTGGCGTCGTTTATGCAGTCCAGTGTAGGAACACTGTCCAGCAGATGTTTACATTAGAGAAACTAAACAACAATTACACAAGAACATAACACAACACAGGAGAGCTGCCTCTTCAGGTCAAAACTCTGCAGTCCACCTTCACCTGAAGGACAAGGGACACATCTTTGAAGATGACAAAGTCCACATTCTGGACAGAGAAGGTAGATGATTTGAGAGAGGAGTAAAATAAGCTATCTATGTAAAAACGTGAAAACCCCACTTTAAATAGGGGCGGGGCTTAGATTTCACCTTTCCAGTACCAATAATGCAGCTTTGGTCAAGGTCAGTTTTACTTACAGAGCGCATTTACAGCAGCAAAGCTACACCAAAGCGCTGTACAAGGTACACCAGATCAACACAATAAAAACCTAAAATAAGATGAGCACACAACAGTCACAATCTACGATAAAAACTGTTAAAAACTAATAAGATGCTCAAGTCAACCTGCATTAAAGCCAAATCAACAAATTGCATCTTAAGAAGGGATTTAAAATGCTCCAGATTCTGTGTGGTCCTGATGTTGAGAGGTAGCTTGTTCCACAGTTTGGGCCCAACCACAGAGAACGCTCTGTCGCCGCGAGTCTTGTGGCGGGTTTTTGGAACTGTTAAAAGAGCTTGAGAGCTGGACCTCATGGTTCTGGCAGGGACGTAAGCGGACAGCAGCTCAGAGATGTAAACTGGGGCCAGGCCATGAAGGGATTTAAAAACAAAAAGTAAAAATTTGAAACGGATCCTGTAAGAGACAGGAAGCCAATGGAGAGAGGCCAGAATCGGGGTTATGTGATCCCACTTGCTGGTTCCAGTCAGCAATCGAGCCGCTGCATTTTGGACCAGCTGAAGTCGGTGTGGGGAGGACTGGTCCAGGCCAGAATACAGGGAGTTGCAGTAGTCCAATCGGCAAGACACGAACAGGTGGATGACATGTTCGAGGACATTAGCAGGAAGGTATGGCTTCACCTTTGCTATCTGCCTTAAATGATAAAAACCTGATTGGACCACTGCACTCACCTGTCTGTAAAGATTAAAAGAACCGTCTAAAAACACACCAAGGTTTTTAACACAGGGTTTTAGAAAACCAGAACAAGGACCAAGAGGACCAACAGCGTTGTTTAAAAGATTAGAACTTTTTTTAAAATCTCATTCAGTTCAGTCTAGGTCACATCTTCCTGCATCTAATCAACATGATGACTCACCAACAATAGAGGCTAATGACTCATCAGGAGATGGAGAGGCGGGGTACTCAGAGTAGTTTCTGCTCTTTAAATAACAACAGACAGCTACAGCTTACGAGCTTGACTCTCCCATATTCCAGTTAGAACTGACAAAGCTCCTCAGAGGAGAAGTGAAATGTTTTAAAGAAACCAAAGAAGTCCAGTTGCCTTCATCTGAACTCTTTGGAGTAATAGTCAATAATAAAAAATACATAATAAAGTAATAAAACGTATATAATTATGCTCACATTCACTTTTACCATCTCTTTGTGGGGGGCGGAACATTCATCACGTTTAACCCTATGACCATAAATATAACTGGTTTTTGTTTTGTTTTGTTTTTGTTTTATGACTTTAAAATTGTAATAAAAGTGTAAAATGTTTGTAACTCTGCTCCTTTTTTCAGAACAACCTCAGCTTTCAGTGTCTAGTTTGTATTTCTGTTTATGTTTTTTAAAGTCTGTAAAACTGCAGCTTAAATGAAAAAAAAACAGATTTGAATTTTCTTTACATTTATTACTAAACAGGAACTTCAAAATGACTTGATCAAACTATGTCAAAAGAACTACCGGTATTTAAACTCAGAACTGTGTTGCAAACACTCAGAAAACAGTGTGACCCCTGACCTCATGTTAACCAGTTTAATGACTGCAGCCTGTCTGTGACCACGCTCTGGTCCAGAGAACGGGATACAGTAAAATAAATACTTTATTTTACTGTATCCCGTTCTCTGGACCAGAGCGTAGACCTGTGGTCACAGACAGGCTGCAGTCATTAAACTGAATCTCATTCAGTTTCAGTCAACTGTTTACTAAATGATTCAGCTTCATTCCAGCATTATTTATACGTACAATAAATATTTATTTAGCTGAAAATATCATTTTATCAGTGCAGAATTTTATTAGTTGACTTTTTGTACCCTCCTCACGATCGATAGTTGAATCTCAGATAGAGGAGGAGCAATGTGGTTTTCGTCCTGGCCGTGGAACTGTGGACCAGCTCTATACCCTTGCAAGGGTGATGGAGGGGGCATGGGAGTTTGCCCAACCAATCCACATGTGCTTTGTGGATTTGGAGAAGGCTTATGACCGTGTCCCCAGGGGCACCCTGTGGGGGACGCTCCAGGAGTATGGGGTGGGTGGCTTTCTGTTAAGGGCCATTCAGTCCCTTTACCAGAGGAGCGTGAGTTTGGTCCGCATAGCCGGTAGTAAGTCGGACCTGTTCCCAGTGAGGGTTGGACTCCGCCAGGGCTGCCCTTTGTCACTGGTTCTGTTCATCACTTTTATGGACAGAATTTCTAGACGCAGCCGTGGTGTGGAGTGTGTCGAGTTTGGTGGCAGGAGAATCTCGTCTCTGCTTTTTGCGGATGATGTGGTCCTCCTAGCTTCATCCAGCTCTGACCTTCAGCTCTTGCTGGGTAGGTTCGCGGCCGAATGTGAAGCGGCTGGGATGAGGATCAGCACCTCCAAATCTGAGACCATGATTCTCGACCGGAAAAGGGTGGCTTGCCACCTCCGGGTCGGGGGAGAAGTCCTACCTCAAGTGGAGGAGTTTAAGTATCTCGGGGTCTTGTTCACGAGTGAGGGTAGGAGGGATCGGGAGATCGACAGGCGGATTGGTTCGGCGTCTGCAGTGATGCGGACGCTGAGCCTATCTGTCGTGGGGAAGAGGGAGCTGAGCCAGAAAGCCAGGCTCTCGATTTACCGGTCGATCTACGTCCCAATCCTCACCTATGGTCATGAGCTTTGGGTAATGACCGAAAGAACGAGATCGCGGATACAAGCGGCCGAAATGAGTTTCCTCCGTAGGGTGGCCGGGCTCAGCCTTAGAGATAGGGTGAGGAGCTCGGACATTCGGGAGGGACTCGGAGTAGAACCGCTGCTCCTCCGGATCGAAAGGAGCCAGTTGAGGTGGTTTGGGCATCTGGTCAGGATGCCTCCTGGACACCTCCCCGGGGAGGTGTTTCGGGCATGTCCTGCCGGCAGAAGGCCCCTGGGTCGACCCAGGACACGTTGGAGAGGTTACATCTCCAATCTGGTCCGGGAACGCCTTGGGGTCCTGCCGGAGGAGCTGGTGGACAAGGCCAGGGAGAGGACGGCCTGGAGCTCCCTAATTGGGATGCTGCCCCCGCGACCCGGACCCGGATAAGCGGAGGAAGACGAAGACGAAGACGAAGACTTTTTGTAATGAAATGTTTACATTTAACCTTTTATCTGCTTATTGATCTTCATAATGCTGGTAGAAATGCAGCTACAGCTGTGAAGTAGCCCATGAGTGTTATTTGATGATACAGTAAAATAAATACTAGGTATCATAAAATAACACTCATGGGCTACTTCACAGCTGTAGCTGCATTTCTACCAGCATTATGAAGATCAATAAG